AATGAAACAGGCCACCAATTGATTGTTTCTAACATTTTTCTATCTGGTTCCAACTTTGTCATATGATTATATATCAATCACTATATTCCTGGATTGAGAGTATGTGCATATGTTTAAGTCTTTGTAACAAATGATGTGTATGAAGTAAAAAGGTGATGAAGTGTACTCTCAGTCACTACTCCTCACTCTCTGTCTGTCACTAGACAATCACGCAAAGTTCAACAGCTCTGCGTCCTCCACTTTTGAGGCCGGCACAAAGCCTTTCTACATTTCATACAACAGTGGGTTTGCAGCAGGAAGCACCGGGTATGATACCGTAAAGGTGAGGATGAAACATTAATACTGTATTATTATTCATTGTCTGCTGACCAGAGGTGGAACTACTCAACTACTGTACTTTATACTTCTACTCCACGGAAATTCAGAGGGAAATATTACTTTTAATACTTCTTTGATTCAACCTTGAGAGATCATTGAGGGCAGACCCTAGATTACAATGTCATCTAGTTGACAGAGAAAGGCAATACCCCAATTAGCAATTCTGATTAGGGAAGATACATTTGAGAAATTAAGATAATTCAAATGTAAAATAAATACAGTTGTGTAAAAAGGGAGAGTTTGCAGTTAAGGTAGATCATGTTATAAATCAATTAAAACAATTAAAAGGTCTAAGGTCTTAAAATAAAATCTAGTTATGTAAAACAACTACAAGTAGAGATTGGGGGGCTTCAGATTAAGTGTATTGATTTTAAGGAGGAGTTTTTTGTTCCAGGAGTCAAATGCACTAAAAGAGTTCACCTGGCTACATTTATTTTATTGCTACAATTACTAGTTATTTTTCAGATTAATATTCTACACAAAAAACACATTATAAGCTTAGAAATAGTTAAAGATTAAACCTGGGGTTCCCAACCTTTTTTACGACCTTTATGGTTTGTGACGCCTTAAAAAAAATGTTGGGGTCCCTTGTCACGTTTCTGATGTATATGAGTTTCTCTACGCTTATTTCACAGAAACACAAAGAAAATTTAAAAAAACCAAACATATTTGTGTATCAGAACTTAAAATACTACTTTTAGTTGTGATACTTACATTACAATTTGTTGATAATTCTTCTGGAGTCTCACTGAGGTAGGATTTTCATTGAAAGATTTTTACTTGTAATAGAGTATTTTTACATTAATATAAAAATGTAAAGTAATGAGCCATAAAAACGGATGTTACATTTTTAGATCAGTGACCTCTACGTGGCTCACCAGCTTTTTGGCCTCACTGAAACAGAGGCAATTTTTCTGGGATATGTGCCCTGGGATGGGATTCTCGGTCTGGCCTTTCCTGGCATGTCATTCGAGGGAAGCACACCTTTATTTTACAACCTGTGGAACCAGGGAAAACTCCCTCTGAACATGTTCTCCATGTACCTGAGCAGGTGAGGTTGTTAACAATGCTGAAAATCTAATGCAAAATGTACTTTCTCATGTACAAGATGATGTTTTCATGACTTATCATCTCTTTGTCAGTTCTGTGGAGGGCAGTATGTTAATTCTGGGAGGAACAGATCCCACATATTACACTGGAAGCATAAAGTGGATCCCACTTTTCCGTGCCACTAACTTTTGGAACATCCACATCCAAAGGTAGACTCCTCATAATAAATGTCCATGTTGTGTTTTAAACAATGTAACCACTTCACAATTGACATTATTTGGAACTCTTCCTCTAATTATTGCCTGTGATGTACATAACGGATGCATTTATGACTTCCTTCGTGTTGCAGCATCACCATCAATGGGAACACGGTTGCGTGCTCTGCAAGCTGTGAAGCCATAGTGGACTCTGGTACTTCTGTAATCATCGGCAGCTACAAAGATGTCAACAACATCAACGGCTGGTTAGGAACCTTCCCAGATCAGAATGGGGCTGTGAGTTTCTTCATTGTTTTACTTTTAGCGAGTGTGATATTAAATATGTTAAGTGAACTGTTCTGTAGTTCAAAAAGGTAACATTTTGCTGTCTGTCTGTCTGTCTGTCTGTCTGTCTGTCTGTCTGTCTGTCTGTCTGTCTGTCTGTCTGTCTGTCTTACAGGCTGCTTTAAGCTGCACTAACACAAATCTGTTGCCAGACGTTGTGTTCAACATAAACGGCTACAGCTTTGCTCTTCCTCCGTCAGCCTATGTCATGAAGGTTTGTGTTTAAGCACAGAGTGATTTATGGTATCTATTTCTATGGTATACTTAAATAATTAGTTGTAACTCATCACTTTATCAATGCTAATAAATAATTTATTAAGCTATGAATCTTTTAAGCCATTGTGCTTTATAGAGCATTGATAATTCATTAGTATGGACAACTTTTAGATTGTAGGAATTATTCTGGGTAATGTACATCCTCCTCCTGTATAGCTTGCTTTGTCATTTTACCTCTTTAATTGATCGTAACGACCCCACAAACAGTCTGAAAAAGAGCTGCAGGGCATCCGAATAAAAATCAATCTATCAACAAGCCCAGACTTAATGGCTAATTACGAAGTTATAAGTCCATAAACCTTTATTACTAGCATGAATGATAAATGATAAGTAAAAGATTATGGTCTGGATGTTCTGGTTGAGAGAAGGGTCTTCTCGATGAATAAGGGGTCGCTAAAAGACAAAGTATGTTCTATTGAAATAGGATAAACACCAGCCAAAAGGGATTTAATTTTCACAACCTGGCAACCAAAAGTTGTTTTTAGAAATGGTTTGAATGATTTATGCATTAATAAATCAAAAACCTGAATCAGCTTCTTGTATGTTTAAATGTGTTGACAGTTCTCAGTAGATCTCAATTTGCTTTAACACAGTGCAGAAAACAACTTCACAGGATGATAAAGATACACACATACAGCTAAACAGAGATGTAACAGCTCTCTGAGCTGATTGCTGCCTTAAGTCATGTTCTCTCTCCTCTCTCCTCTCTCTGCAGTCTGCCTCTGGGTGCACAACAGGGTTTGCACCTGGCCCCTGGATCCTGGGCGAGGTCTTCATGCGGCAGTTCTACACCGTCTTTGACATCGGCAACAACAGGATGGGCTTTGCTCAGGCTGTGTGAATACATGTAAAGAACTGGGTCAGGTTAAAATTATATCAGCCATTTGTCAGAGGTTGTAGTCTGTGTCGCCCTAATAGAGCTAAAGAAAGTAACTGACTGACAGATTTTGACTAATAAAATAATATCTTTCTGACATTAAAGTCATCATAGCTTTGTTCTAAATTCAAATGCTTGTAAAGTCTTCCCAGAACAATCTGTAAAGGCAAGAGTCGGCCCAAATGTTTCCCTCCGATATGGATGTGTGTCTTGGCAGCCACTAGATGGCAGAGGACTCACTGAGCTGCACATTCAGTCACTTCACCATTCATGTGATTCCCCTGGGAGGGGCCTGAGGAGAGGATGAGTCATCTCACTTAGAATTCAGTTTCTAAAACACAGAGGCAACTGCCAGTCAACGGGCGCTGCCTTACATTCATGCCATCTGTGTCTGTGATGTTCAGTGATGTGAGATTACCTTATGGCTGCTGCATTTGTTCTAATTATAATCTGTAATTTAATATCCAACAGGGATGCGTCATACAGATCTTTTCTATTTAAACATGTGCATCGATACACCGATGAGCTGTCATTAACCCTCTCACACCTCCTATTACACACTTATTTAGCATTTTAATACTATGAATCCCGTGCTGCATTGTTGCGGTGCATTTTTTTCCGAATGGTTCAATCTAGTTACGCACACCTGGCTGGTGTTGCATGCATTGTGGGTAAACATGGTAACATGAGACAGCAGCTTCTGAAGCAGGCAGCATGGACATTCCTGCAGACCTCTTCAATCATTCATCCTGCAGAAGAGTTGGGCAGCAGGTGAGGTTTCACACTGCAGCATCTGTCAGAAAGATGGACAAACTTCTTGACAAAACTGCCATAAATAATCATTCTGCACACATCTGCTGCACTGTCACATGAAAGAAATGTGATGTATGTTCCACCTGTTTATTGCTACAACTACCCAACATCAAGGTAACATTTTTTAAAACTGAAATCTGAGACCTAAATTGTCTGAGGTTAATATAGCACTGATCCAACCGGCTGCTCTGTCCAGGACATTAAGAGGCAGAGGAGAATGAATATAGACCGGCGCGCTCACTCTGCTCAGGGAGATCCTGTGGTCAACAACCCAAATAAGCGTGAAAAGCCAGCAACACCGTATGTTGCCAGAAGAAAGTAAGTCTGAGGGACAGGTGCAATAAATACGACTCCTTACTCCACTGCTCTGTGTGGTTTTCCATTTCACCCTCAAGTGAATAAGGCTGTGTCATTAGTGTAATACAGAAACTAAAGCTCCACACTAACTTGGCTGACTGAAGCCTGATCTTACTAAAACAGACAACAAGATCAGGTAATCATCATACCTGCTCGGTCACATCTGGAGCACTCTGGAGTCAAAGGAAAAATTCCTCGTTTTGGGAAATAATCTTAGTCACTTTCTTGCTGACAGTTAGATGAGAAGATTGATAACAGTCTTGTCTCTGTATGGAAAATATGACGATTCCGCCGGTTAGCTTAGCTTAGCATAAAGACTACAAATAGGAGGAAACAGCTAGCTTGGCTTTACCATATGAAAACCAAAGTAAAATACATATCATATGTGAATTAGTGAGTTTTAGAGGTGCTGGTTTGTAAATTTTGTTACCTTCTGAAGGAGCCAGGCTAGCTGTGTTCCCCTATTTCCAGTCTTTATGCTAAGCTAAGCTAAGCGGCTGCTGGCTGTAGCTTTATTTTTAAAATACAAACATGAGAATTGTATCAATCTACTCATTTAATTCTCTGCAGAAATGTAAATCAGTGTATTTCCCAAACTGTTTTAATGTTGTAAGTTGTAAAGTTCTGTTACTGTAGCTCAGTTTGACAGATTCAATGAATTAATCCCCTTCCAGGAATATAACAGACATCATTCACTCTTTGTTGCATTATTTTTTAGTAGTTTATGAAATACAGGAACAATACAACAATAGACAAGATATAATACAGGAAATAATAACATACAATAAGTCCTTATACAGGATTGCATATATTGAAATATAAGTGGCTTCACACAGAAATGCAGTATGTAACATACTAATGACAATATAACTGTTCTGACTGTAAACACTGAACATGTAGGTTATTAATTCTCAGCATGTAACTCAGTCTTTGGTTAACTGTCAGAGGAACAAAAGATATATGTACAACATTAGCATACATAAGACGTGTCCCTTTTTTGATATAATTAAATAAACTTCCTCAGAATGTAGCTACATTATTATGCTATTAGACTACGCTCACAATGTCATGACAATTTTCAACGCTATAATTCCTGTAGACATTTAATGACGGTGTTGATCACCTAAATTATCTTGAAAAAGCACCATGAAAGGATAAAAATAATAGTTATTTCAAAATCAAAGTTCATTTACTGTACATTGCTACATTTATCATCTGTGACTCGTGTATTTTATTGTGTGTGATCTCTAATGAGCAGCCTGAATTTATTCGGTAAAAAAATATTATTCTATTAGTGTGAGTAATTATTTTCGTATTGTTATTATTATTAGTATTACTCTAACCAGCAACAGAGTGAATTTAAATTGTGAAAACTTAATTTTCAGACAGGACTCTGATCTATATCCTCCAGTGGTTTATCCCGTATGGTGGTGACACCATTGAAGTTCTATTGCAAGCCTCTAAAATCAACAATTTGAAGGTATTTTAGTAATGTTAACAAAATGAAGACGTGTGTTTGAAAACTGTTTCTTCTAGATTTACATTTCAGCTGTCTTGGCTGCACTACTAGCTGCTATTTCTGACTATGTTTATGAGACCGCTGGCCGGCTGACTGGCTGGCATTTGCTGATTCGCTGATTCGTTCAGGGTTGGGCTCTAAGGCCCAGAAGCATTCAGTAGATGGTACTCGCTCACAGTTGTTTCCCTTGGGCTGATGCTTCCTGGCTGCCATTAACCATCCAATATGACAGGATGTTCATTTATTGTTTGAGCTCACTGTCATATATCCTGTCTAAACTGGAATTGGCATTACAATGTTATTTGAACATGATTTATTGATCCTTTCTAAACAGTTCAAACTGAAGATTTGGGGCTGAAATCTGCCATCAGAAGACACAACCTGCAGCAGCTGCACTGACAGTAGACAGTCGGGTGACTTGTGGAATGTTTATGCTTTAAATGAGCTTTAGCTTATTACAGTGCTTATTTTTCTGAACCAGAAACTGTGTGATATCTCTGCAGACCCCACTGGCAATGTTATTGTATCAATGAAGTCTATTTCAGTAGAGCAGTTCTGGGACTCCCTGATGAGTCAGAACACAGGTGGTCTGAAAGATACATCCTCTTTAAAGAGAAAGGCATAAATGCATATTAGGCCATAAAATGGTTTGAATAAGCAGATATGTTTCAATCAGGTGATCAATATCTTTAAGAATTAGTCAGTTATTCCATACTACTGGATCTCATCAATATTAAACATGTGTTTCTTAATATTTGCAGTATCATTTAATTAAATCACTGGGTGAAATAAGTGGCTGCTCTTAAATCAATATTTCATGTTCTATTAATAGTCAACAGTTGTATTTATATTGATGAAAACAACTAGATATGAGTTTCAGTAATACTACAGTGTGTATGTGGTCATGAACGACTGATAATAAGACTGGACGTAGTCTGATAACCTGTTGTTAAATGAATTACAGTAAATATGTTTCACAAGTTGGGTTGATGATTCTGTGATCATGCTGAATCCAAACTGACTTAAAATAGACCTGCATACTGATTTAAAGATACTGTCAAAGCAGTATTTAAAAACACTAACAAGGTCAGTTACTGCAAACACACATATTATTACTTGAGCATTAAATCACACTCGAATATGAAATAATACAAATAGATAAAATTGCATAAGAGTAATCCTTACAGGACCGTGTCCTTTAAAGGCCGTCAAAACCAAACAGGAATGTAAAACGTAGCATTAATATTAAACATCTTGCAGTAGTAATTAAGTGAGCTCTGCAAGCTCTGCATAAAGATAAGTGTCTCTTTCAAGCAGTAGCTTCTGTCCAACATCTTTAAAATGTCTAATCTTTGTAGTACCATCATCCCCAGTGCATAAAAAAGCTGGATAACTTTAAAGTGCAGCCTCAGGATATTCAGAAGCCAGCTAAGTTAAGGAATAAAATGCTTTCATGCTGTTTGTTGTCTCTGAGCAATTACTACTTAGAGTTGGTATCTTTTTAATTTTCTTAGGGACTTAAAAATATACATTGCATAGCAAATTCTTGCAGGACCAGTCAATAATTTGCAGTTAAACTGACACTTAATAATAATATGAAAATTAATAGCAGAAATAACAATTACAGTCCTGTATGACAACTGAGATAAATGCATTCATCAAAAATATTTAAGGTCAGAAATTATTTTAACCATATTTCTAGGCATTATCAGAATGTTTTTGGGTATTTCTAAATGTTTTTTATTGAGTCATTGCACTGATAATTTATTTTCTATCAGCAGTACATGCTACTGCAACAGTGTCACCAGCTGTGAGAGCCAACTAAAGCTTTAACTCTGTTTGGAAGATGCTAACTTTTGAATCTTGCACACATTCATAACACACAAACCTCTGTGGAGGAGCCACGCAGGTTAAACCATCTCTGTCTTACCCTGCGGGCTGTACCTCTGACTTTTACACCACCATGGGGGTATCGGAGCACACAGAGCTGACAGACTCTGCGTCAGACCTCCTTCTCTCCCTGTTGTCCCCCTGCCACTCCTCGTCTTCCTCACCTATCGGGTTCAACCGCCCGTTCTGTTCTAGCTGGTCCTTGGGTTCCAGGAAGGCCACGTGTCTATATGGGAAGCCTCCGCCTTCCACTCTTTCTTGCCCTGTCTCCTCATGTGAGATGCTAACAGTTGAAGAGTGGAGGCTGTCCCCGGGCTCGTTCTTCTCCAGGCCCTGATCCGGACAACAAGCGCAGCGGCAGGGTGTGAAATAGAGGTAGATGATTACCATCACTACGCTGATCAGACATGCTACGAGGGTGGTGTAAGCCGTTTTTAGGTTCTCCAGTCCACCACTCGAGGTGGTATTAAACACTACTACAGTAACATACAGCGTCTCATTGAAGGAGTCGCTGGTGGCGTAGCAAGTGTAGACCCCTGAGTCCTCTGCCTTCAGGGGGCCAATCTGGAGGCTGCCGTCTTTACGCATCTCAGCAGTCTTGTGTGCTGGAGGCAAGGGGATGTTTCCAGGCAGCGTCCAGTTCTTCATCATGTCCTTCTGCCTGGTGTCACAGTCCAGGACCAGGAACTGCTCCAGATAGGCTATTTCATCTGTAATTCTGACCTCAGTGCAGTTCAAATAGACCTTGTCCAGATCCATAATGGCCATTTTTTCTTTCTGTGGGCCTGGTAACAAACAGGTGTGACTGAGCTTGAAGTCAGTGGCAGAGCTGAGCTCCTTGAGGTACCAGCGTGCCACCACCTCATACAGATCGCAGTTGCAGGGCAGAGAGTTGTTGTGGAAGTACAGGCCATTCTTGATCCAGGCGGGCAGAGCCTGAATCTCATGGAGGGGCAGGGCTTTGATTCGGTTGGAGGACACATCCAGCAGCCTGAGAGTTTCCAGCCGGCTCCGCTCCTTCACCAGCTCCATGGGGAAGCGTGAGATCTGGTTGTGGCTCAGGTAGAGCTTCTGCAGGCTCAAGAGGCTAGAGAAGGCAGTGCGATCTATCTGAGAGATGCGGTTGTTGTAAAGCAGTAGCACCTCCAGGTGCTCCAGCGGCTCAAAAATATTCTCATCCAGCATGCGGAGGTGATTCGAGGAAAGGTCCAGGTAACGAAGCTTCGTCACATACACAAATGCCTCAGAGGAGAGGAAGTTAAGGTTGTTGTTGCTGAGCAGCAGAGTGTGCAGTTTACTGAGTTTGTTGGAGGTCCACTCAGCACGTAGCCTGGTGATTGAGTTAAAGCTGAGGTCCAGAACAGCTGTGTACTGTGGGAGAGAGATGGGAACGTTGGTTAAATTCTTATTGGGACAGCTGATGATGTTGCTGGCGCACACACAAGTCTTGTGACAGTCCAGAGAGTTTCCCATAAACTGTGCCCTGACTCTCGCTGCTGACAACAACAAAACCAGAGGTAGAACCGCGATGAAGCTCCTTCTTCTGAATGCTGCTTCCGTGGAAATCCAGAGTGACCCCCCCATCATGTCAAGATTATAAACTGTAGCAGTCTGGATGCCTTCTAGTCTTCACGGTGGAGAGTCATGGAGCTGTAAGGACAATGAGATCAATAAATCAGCACTGTTTCACCAAAGAGCTAAATAAAAGATGTGATGTCATTCCTGTATATGAGGTGAAGACATTAAGGCTCACAGCTATAATGCACCCAGAGTGCTTTGCTGCAGTCGGGTCAAAAAGTTATAAGTGGTCAGCAAAAAAATTTCACCACAGCGCCATCAATGAATTAGCGACATTAATTGAATTAATTAATTCTGAATATAACCTAAAATATTATTAACATGTTGTCTGTTTCGTTCGCCTCCTGCGACCATCATCCAATCTCCTCACTCACTCAGAGACCGGCAGATTTTGTCCCGGCGGCAGGCACAAGTGTCCCGGCCGCTCGAGCTTTACCTTGAGTCGGTCTCAGCGGTCCAGTCCGGACGGTCTCATCCTGTCCTCTGCGGCGGGCAGCGGTGCCTCCTCTCTATCACCGGAGTGACCGGAAAAGCCTGTCTGCGGTCCTCACTGATGAGGAAATGCAACCATCTGATAGTTGATCTGAGGGGCGCAAACAGCAGAGCAGGGGGTGTGTCACATTTCCTCCCCATCTCTCTCTCTCTCTTTCTCTCTCTCTCTCTCTCTCTCTCTCTCTCTCTCTCTCTCTCTCTCTCGTGTTTACACAGCACTACCAATTTAAATAAGATACATGACTATTTTAAGCACTACAGAGGTGAATCTGAAGTGTCCAACATTATGAAGGGGACATTACAAGAAGTATTTAAAATCATGTTAAAGGTTGCATTGTGGTAAACATGTGGGGTTGGTTGGGGTTGCTGAAGACCTTGCTGATGGTCCCTTTTGCCTTTGTTTTCCCTTCTCAGTGCTCATTAGATTTTCATATTGTCCCTTATAATGATGTATTTTCCTAAAACAAAGGCGGGGTCCTCAGGGATGGTGTCATTTTCCCCTCCCCGTAAGGACACATTCACCAGCTCAGTGCGATGATGGCTTTAATGATGAAGCCCTTCCTCCTCCTGGTTCATCTTATTATTCCGGTGAAGGACAGGGCAAGCATTCAGTGTGTGTGGGAACTGCAGCTGCAGCAATCTTCGGCACAGGACGTGATGTGCATGTAGCAGTGTGTGAGGGATCAATAGGGAGAGTTCAGAGCAGAAAGGGGTTAACATAAACAGCTTAGAGTCCTGTCCTTTGAAGTGGATAAAACACTTTTAATACAGTGATTATATTAATAAGATTTAAACATAAAGCACTGTTATTTGTAGCATTCATTTGAGTTATTAAGCTGGTTATTATTTGCTGGTTATTCCAGAGTTGAGCCTGTCGTTGTTAGAGTTTAGCCTTTACTTTTTATTTTAGGAATCATGGCCAGATCAAACTTCCAACAGGGGGCCGAAATTAGATTCTGGGCCCCTATCAACCACCCGCTCCTCACATGTTCTGAGCAATGTGTAAATTTTTCTATATCATAATACTACCTGGCCCCAAGCTGCAGTTTGATCAAACATATATTTTTTTAAGGAATGTGCAACATATAGCCTACAAACCAAACAATAAAGGTGTTTTGGCCACTCTAAGGCAGGAAAAACAAGTTGATATGTTGACCTTAGCAAACAGTTGCATATTTACACATCCAGCAGTTATGGGCCATTGTTGTGTTTCTGTCTGTTCTATTTGCTTTCTTCTATCTTTGTTTTGCTCTCTACCACAAAGTTAGCCTGGAATTTACAGATGCCCTGGAGCTCTGGGGTCCCACGCAGGGCAGTGTGTTGTTCTTCATACCAGCTGCCGTGGGATTAATCATCAATTTAGACATAATCCAGTGTGTGCACAATAACGCAACTATACTGGCTACTATCGGACAACAACAGTAACGAAGACTCCAGAATAGACAAACAAAATACATCAGGGATTGTTGAAGGCATTTGGATCATATTGATGGTTACATCTGGCATAATCAGACAAACAGAATCAGGAGAACAAAGCAGGACAATTAGCAGACAGGAAAGGCTAAATCACTACAGTTGCAAGGCAACACACTGAAAACTGGACTGCAGGCAGGTGAGCACGTCAGTAACCCCCAGAGGACACAAACACTCACAGAAAAAAACGTCAGTATGACTGATAACCATCCAGCTCGCCTATAGCTGTACATTAAATACCTTGTTATCAATCTTCTAAGCACAAGGTCACCTCACACAGTCAATCTCACATAAAAAGAGAAGATGAAATGGTCCAGGTCTGGTTGCTATGGGTGCCAAGGGTAGGAGGCGTGTGTATGAGCAGGACATAAACTGTATAGACTGACCATTTGGCATCCTATAACATTAATCATCAGTAACGGTGGAAAGGGAAGAAGGGAAATTGTAATGTCAGCTGGGAGGAAAGGGTTAACGTGCAACGCTTGACGTCAACATGCAAGTCTTTGATCAAAAGGTTTAAACTTTGACAAGAATTAAGGGCACAATTTCAATGTTGGATCGAGTCACAGTGAGGTCTCACTTACAGGACAAGGTTACATTATCCAGATATATTACATCCCAGAGACTTTAAATAAAACCAGAATAATTCACTCCACATCCTGTCAACTGTACTCTTGAAGTAAAGTGAAATTTGACACATTTTCCCCAATGAATCCAGCAAACAGCAGATTTCTTAGAAACTGAAATGATCGCTTCTGTGTCAAATAAACCACATTACTGTAAGTCAAACATGCTGTATTTTTAAAGCATTTAAATGAATCTTATGACTACGGTGTCAATTGATAAATGTGACTATGTAAAAAGATAACTTTTTATACTATCTATTTAGGAGTTTTCTTCTGGCAGAAGATGGACAGTTAAAATATAACAATAAGAAGGACAATCTATGTGGAGTCCTACTACTGTGTGTCAAGAGTCATACTAATGATTAACATAAAGAGCTTTGACATTCACAGTATATTTACTGAATTATTCATTAATAATTAATGATAACAGTGAGTAAAGTAATAATAATACAATGATAATCAATAAAGAGTAGAAGTAGAAAAAATATTCAAATTATTTAATTAAGGAAAAGTAGCAATACCACGGTATGAAAATACCCCATTACAAAGAAACAGCCTGCATCTTTATTGATGTCATATGTAGTATATGTACTTTAAAGTTGCCATTGGTCATGGTGGAGCTCATTTTAACTACTTTATATACTTTAGTGGGTTAATCTAAAAGTACAATATTTCGCACTGAAATGTAAAGTACCTCACAAACTGGTTTTAAGAAGAGAGAGTAAATGTACTTACTTTAAAGTAGTAGTTAGTTAGTTACTTTACTTTCCACTACTGGTAAATGCTAGCGAGGCATTGTAGCCTATCCTCCTTCTTTCCTTCTGGCGCGTCCTTTTTTTATTCCACAACAGAAAATGACTCATGCTTTCAGGGATGTCATGAATGTGTCAAAACCTTCATAACGATAAAAGCTCAATCAAATACTTGCTCAAGTGGAAGATGCTGTATATGGATCAGCTCATCTAGAGCTCTGTAACTTGAGTATTATCTGATAACATGATCAATATGATCATTAATCATTTTGTCGGCATCCATACATCCTCTGCCAAATTGGTTTGAATTACACTGTTGACTTACGAGTGGATTTATAAGAGAAGGAGAGGACATCTTCTCATTCTGAGTTTTTTTGGATGCTGCTATAGTGCCTTTCCATTAATTTAATGCATGTGTCATGATGAGCATGTTTTTCACTCGACAACAACAACAATGTACCAAATGATTACTTGGGATCCAGAGAGATATGCAGCTGTGTGGCTGAGACAGAGCCGTGCAGGCGCAATGCATCTGCACCCTCCTCTGTATAATAATGTGACATGGATCTCAGTAGCAGTAATTACCCATCATTACCAGAGTGTTTTTAGATAGATACACATGCTGGAAACACATACACACGAAAACAAGCACATTACTCTATTTCTGTTGTACGAACGCACAGCATCACTTCCATGATGCAAGGAATGTAGCCTGGTGGCCTATTTTTCTTTAGTTAAATGATTATTATGCTCAGATCCTGACAGTGAACCAAAAAAAATCAAAAACAATAGTAAATTTATTCTGCAAACATTGTGTTGTCAAAGTCATCTTATTCCTTTGTGCCATAGAGCTCCATTGTTGTCCAAAAAGTAATAAAAACAAATTGAGCTTTATTTTATGGTTTATTTTGATCTCACAAACACCGTCCTGCTGCTGTAAATACTTCACCAAATGTGAATTAATGCTGAAAATAGTCCCCAAGAAATACTCTCATACTTTCAAAACATCTAAGTACATATTTCTGACCTGCTTTCATAGATGTCCGTCTTCAGTTGGAACCAATGGGCCTGAGGCTGAGAGACATTAATGTACTGTTGGTTTAGGTCCTTTTCATAAGAAAACAACATAAAATAGAGCAAATCGCCACCTTTATCCTTCAAACTATCACTGGCGGATGTAGTATTCCCATATGCATAATCTTCATTTGTTGCCTCTTGTAAGTTGTGATTTTAAAGTTATGTAAACTTACCTCTTGCTGTCACAACAACAACCTGCTCACAAAGCTGATTCGCCCTGTTGTGCATTCGATTGGGAAATATCAGATCGCAGGGTAGATTTAGGCAGCGGCCTTGGTGGATGGTCGTTCCGGTCTCAGGAGATTTACAGTCCTCTTGTGAATTATAAATGAGGTAAAGCTCTGGGCCATTGGCAGCAGTCTAGTGTAATATCCAACCCCGCCCACAGCACTCCATCAGCTAAATGAGATCAGCTTCTTTCTCTCAAGAAGAGCTGCTTGCTGCTCACAGCTGGAAAAATAATGGATTTAAATGTTTGTAAGAACTCATACTTTAGTTTTATTTATGTTTATTTAATTAAATATTTTCAGTTTAACACTGGTTAAATTTATATTGCATCTTACACTGAAGTGAAATAACAAAGATATTGGAGCTCACAAAGCATGTATGTTTTTGTGCTTGTGATGGGGCTTTAGTATCATAGTTTGTCATTAGACTCTTTCCTAATGATCTCTTTCTGAAAGTCTACATGGGTCATTTCATATCCAGGCCCATTTTCCTCACTGAATGATTCATATTTAATTCTACTAATGCATTTGTCAGCTGTATTACACACTGATACTGAAAGCCAGAGAGAGAATAGATGATTAAGTTCTCTGTGTGAAAAACACAGCAAGAACAAGAACATTTCAATGGTTTCAAGAACACACAAAATACGATCATATCATGATCTGAACAAGACTTTTTATTTTTTTAATAATATATCTAAATCTGCACCAAAACCCAACAATACAATCTTAGATTTATTGTTGTAATCGAAATTATTTATTTTTTTGTTTGGCAGGTAACTCCCTGGCTGCCTGTATGATGTTCCTGTATTGTGTCTGTTTATTTACAAGAGTGCACATCTGAACTAAATGTGCAAGTGAACGTGCAGGTCACATCAAGAAAGAAAGCTATTTGCATCTCCACATCTCCATCTAACAAAGGCCAGACAATCACCCACTGGTGCGTCGCAGTTATGTTTAGGTACATGCATCTTCAATTAAGATTTCTAATGTGTAAAAGTGTGTTTGGCTATAAATCAATGCAATACTAAAACTGTCCTTAGAGTCATTACAGTAATCTCTGTTACAGTGGGTAAAGCAGGGAGCTACTGTACCAAATGCACAATATAGTGGACACACTGCCACCATCTGGCATAGTCCGCAGGTTCAGGGGCCTGTTCAAGAGGCAGGTTTGCTGAGTAATCTGGATAGCTTTGATGAGTAAAAACCAGAACCCCATTAGTTCTTAAACACGGACTAAAGTAAAAGATCTGTTCAGAGTTTCATTCAGCAGAGTTATCCATATAACTCGGTAAAGCTGCTTTTTGGAACGGGCCTCATGCCAGCAATAACTGACAGACTAACAGAGGAATGTTTAATGAGGTATTTTGTTAGCGTATATTTAGATAGATAGATAGATAGATAGATAGATAGATAGATAGATAGATAGATAGATAGATAGATAGATAGATAGATAGATAGATAGATAGATAGACTTTATTAATCCCTGAAGGATGTCTTCCTACACAGATTTTTCCTGCTAAAGATGGTAGTCTCAAGGCAAATAGACAGAAACACTGCTATCATGAGACATCAGCTTTTATTTTAGAAGTTTAACACCACTTAATACAAAGCTCAGAGTCTTATAGAGCATCAGATCATAAACTCTGACTGTGAAAGAACCAAACAATCTTGCACATTGTCAATCACTTGGACTCACTTTATTTATGATGTTTGATACAACAATTGAAAGTAATTCATGAACCACATACATTTGGATCATTGTAGCTACCTGCCCCAAAAATGATTCAGTGTTAGATACTTGAAGAAACTTTAACGCTTTATCTTTTCCATAGCTCTTTCCAGCAGCACAGTGATTAAAAAAAATCCACAACATCCCTAAGTCCCATAAATAACACATGTCTGATACGATCCACCGTAACGTTATCCAAGCCAAACAATACATGAATGTCAGGAATGATAAAGCTTAGAATAACCCAACAAGATAGTATTGTGCCTTGGATACACCGTCACTTTTAGTCTGTTTGACTGTCTGCTGCCATATATAAACCTTCCTACCCAAGTGTCTCCAAGGCAACATTCATCACTTTACCCTTTATCTCCAGTAACATCCCTCCAACACATTTATACATCTGAAAATTTAACATGAGATGCTTGTTAGTACAGTGTGTTAGACATTTGTAAAGAATCTCTCCTTCAATCATGTCAGATACTGTGCAGCTCGACTGAAATATCTCCTTTGTGCTTTTGCTTTGATGTTATTAAACACAAAGCTGGTTAATATTCTCCCTCAGTACACTAAATGCTAAATGTGCATTTGAATTTGAGTTGATTGTTTGTGTAGGTTGCAGTAATTATGTTTTGGTAAATGCAATGGCATGATTTTATTTCTGAGTGCGGCTGATATTTGCGCGTACATATCTATGGGTAGTTATTATTGGCAGCAGGGGCTCTCTGGGGTTAGTGCAGCGTCCTTGCTATTTCTGAGTGCGAATGTGGAGTCTATTTTCAAAGTTGCCATGGAAACCATTGTATTTGTGGTGGCAGCGATTGGTGCTGCCGGCCGAGCAAGACTCTGCTATTTTTGTCATGAGTCAACACCTGATATACACACTCACAGACACACACACACACACACACACACACACACACACACACACTCAGGTGTACATGCCTGAATACAGATGAAAACACACAGATACACTCACACAATGCGCAAAAAACACACCACAGTAACACAAGCGGTGTTGCTATTTTAGTCACATTATATACTGTTTGAAAGGCGTTATGTGTTACACAAGCATGTTTCCCATCTCTCTTTAGTGTTACCAGACATCTTGATACATCTTCACCATGACAACAGTAGTAATCGCTGTCCATTTAATCTCTCCACCCAACTGCATCGTGTTTTCTTATGTTCTGTTGTCCAGGCATGTTTCATGTTTGATGCATTGACAGGAGGCGACAGATGCTGTTAACTTGTTATCAGTCAGGTTGAGACAAGTTTTAAATATTACAATAGGCTTACATATATTTTACAATGGACTGGTAATAGCTGTCTACTACTGTGAGGTTATGATATTTGAAGGTAAAAGGAGACTGTGAACAAAAGTGCTATTTTACACAGTATGAAATTTGCAATACTGACGAGCAGCATAGTGATGTGTAGCAGGACTGTAACTAACATCATGATGTTATTTTCATATTTCATATTTTCATAATTTATTTTTACATTATTTTCTTGGAAATCAATCAATCGTTTTTCTCAGTAAAAGTGAAAAACGGCTATCCCTATTTCCCCTGGGTTGAAGGTTGAAAATTACAGTCAAAAATGTGAAGATATTCTGTTTCCTATCCCACAGGACCAACAAAAGCAGAACATCCTCACATTTCAGAAGCTGGAACTAGAACATTTTGCCATTTTTGCTTAAGAAATTATACAAACTAATCAATTTTCATAATAGTTGACAGGTGATTCATTGTTTGTTGATAGACTCATAAACTTATCATTGGAGCTGTAGTATGCAGTGGAATGCATAACATTTTATTATAATCTGTTTACTCAAATTTAAATACCACTTTTGAACAAAGTTTGTCAAATAAGAGTAACAAGTGCCTTTTACCAATGTTCATCACTAACCTTGTCTATGGGTCCTAATACAGTAAGTACACTCAAGGCAGAAAGCAACAAACTGTATAATATTGCAACCAGGAGACCTCAGTTCCCACAGTGACTTAACCAGTGGCATTATTATAACAAGGCTATTAGTGAACTAGATTAAACAATCAATTTATCTGCAAATTAAAACATGCTTTTTAATGGGGAAAGAGATGCAAAACGTGATTTCCATGAAATGCAAATGTTATGTGTATTATCATGGGGAACCTTATAAATGCAAATGAAAAACACCTACCTTGCAGCTCCATGCTTGCCCCTTCAGTAGAGTAGCCTCACCCGTAATGGCCCAGATTTCATTGTCCTCTGCAGACAGAGCAATAAGATGGACTGTATATGAAAAAGATCACCGTGGCAACAGGAGCCCCAGTTTGAGAAGCTGGGGATGGTGGAGGCTGAGGCCTGGCCTAATCAATGCCTCACTGCCTCAGTAAATCTTGTACTGGAGGGCACTCTAATCCATGAAATTACAACCCGAATCATTACTGACTGACGAGAGAGAGGATCTAGAAATAATGGATTAGATATGAAGGTGAGGTGTCTTGCATTGTGCACATTCATATTCATGAATAAACCCACTAAGGTCACTTGGAGATAATAAACCTTCAACTATTTACCCTAAAGTATGTGAAAAAAATTATGTGTCCATGAAGACTTTAGGTTTATATGCTAGTGGCCAAACTAGGCTGTAATGCTCATTATACACCAGAATGTAATTTGTCAAATACATGAATGTACCTTTAGATCCTTGATACAAGGGGGCAATATATATATGATTATATCTATTTGGCCTGAACATTATTACCCCCATCAATAATCCTCTTTAGAGTGGCAGGTTTCAGATTTGTAGGCTCAGCAGCTCTGGTTTGAGCTGAGCTAACATGCTAACTGTCCCGGTCCAGCCCTGTTATGGTCTCATCAGCATACCAACCTGCTAAGTTAGCATGTTTACATAATAATCACTGGATGCTGACATTGTATGATATTTAGTAAGATTTAGTTTGTATCATGTGCATAGTTAGCATGGTAGCATTGTAATCATGGATGCGGCAAATAGTGTAAACAAGACAGCATTTAGCTTGTTAGCATGACATGATTCTCAAAGGAAACGGGTAAAGATGATAAAATGTGATCTCTGTTTTGAAAAGGTTTTCTGTTATAAATCGTTGACCTGGTGATGGAATTAGAGAAAACATTGCAATCTGATAATTGTTGACATATATTAGCCTTATACATAGGCTATATTTGTATTACAGTAGTTGTTGAGAAGAGTTGGACTAACAAGAGATCTTGTCTTATACACAACTGAATACAAGCATTTCCATCTTCCAAACTAGTTTCCTCCACAATTACAAAAAATATTCTAAGGATTGAATTGGATTGACTTATAGGGGGGTGCCAACAAAAGTAATAACTAACTGTAATATTATTACTGAAATGTATTAGTAATTACACTACTAGTTACTGGGGAAAGTAATATTATTACTGGAATATTATTACTAGTAAAGAGTTACGGCCCAACCATGTTTACAATGCTAACAACAACAACAACAACAACAACAACAACAACAACAACATAACATTTCCCTACTTCCCTAAAATTTGACAATACAATAAGGACACTAGGACCCTGTGGAGGCAGCTGCTCTGGTCCTGTTTCTCACTGCCTCCTGCTCCAGCTCTGCAGTCACTGTGTCAGAGTGGAGGGAGAAAGCAGAGAGGGAGCTGGTGTTTTTGCAAGCATTTACATCAGCATCGCTTCAGAAAAATCTCTGCTGCCACAGCTGAAGTCATCCATGGAAGAGGATGCACAAGGCAGATCAAGGGATGGGAAGAGAAACAGGCTTAGTGGGAAGTACCTCAACAGCATTCACAAGGTACAGTGATTGATGTCCACTGTGTATCTCAACAGTGGGAGCTACACCAGTTTTTATCCTCAGAGACCAAAGCAGCAGACAGCTGCATCAGGAAATACTCTGATTCAGGTACATAATGCTTTCTGCCTTGTTCTCTCTCTCTCTGTTTCTTCCCCATCACGCTCCCTCATTCTCACTACATTTTCTTGCTTCTTCTCACCCTCTTCTTCTAATCTGCTGATTATGTACTGCTGAGCGCATCGATAAATCTAATTCAATTGTAATGTGATATTTAGCCTTGCTTCATACAGTGGGTGTAATGCATTAATGATTAATATATAAATGAGTAGGCGGTAAGACATGACTAAACCAGGCAGGAGGGTTAAACTGAATTGGGAGTACCCCTATGTGTGATTTAGAGATGTTGCTCACTGAAGGCAGTCATTCATAGGTGATGTGGGAGGTTAGAGCTCAGTTTTTACCCTGATTCATCACTGTAGACAGAGAGACGGAACATCCCAGGTTTTCTGTTATATCGGTGGCAGAGAGGATTTATAGCAGTCAGCAACTGGATTTCCTTCATCTGACAAATACATATAGCAGCTGCCACCCATGTCTGTTTGTTGTCTCTAATAGCAAGACACAGTTAATATGCAGACAGCCTCTGCAACCTATGAACACCCTCAGGTTTTCCATTTGAAACACTAAACCCACTCATACTAAGTGGCCAGGGCTTCTTTAGTGGCACACATGCTATTATAGTACATGTACACAAGTAAAATCATGCAGTACATTGAATATCAGACCTGCATACAAGAGTACACACTGGCATGGCCTTCCAGAGATCTGCAAGTGTTTTTTCCCCCCCACTTTTAAATAGCCATACACAATGAGTTTATACCCTGGGTATACATATTCAACAAGAGCTCTCACAGCAGGTGTAGTTGTGATGGACAAGGGCTATTACCTATTCTGTGAAAGGATTGGTTTTGGGGAATTAGCATGTAGTATTCATCACCTGCAGAAACGAGCAAACTGGATTTATCTCTAAAAGTGTAAAAGCCCCAAATCCTTTATTGGTGTTTTTCTAGAGGATAAATATGATCATACACATCATCAGCTTTGGGCATTATGATTTGGTTGCAGATTTATGAATTATAATCTGTTCAAGTGCCTCAACTCTCTTGCATGATGATTTATGATTGTTCAAATCAGTTTTCTCAGCATGTTGCTAAAAAGGTGCCAAATGTCCCTGACTTGAATAATGCATACTTAATTGAGTTAATTGGTTTGAGGGCTGGCTTTGGATTACCTTACCAGTATGACTGACTTAACAGAGATTTGAGAAGCTAATGAGGATTTTGAAAAGTTTATCCTAGTGGATGGCTCGCCTGGTGGAGCTGAGTCCTTGCTGTAGCAGCCTGGGACTCGTGTCTGACCTGCGGCCCTTTGCTGCATGTCATTCCTCCTTTCCTGTCACTCTTCAGCTGTCACTATCCATTTAAAGCAATAAAAGTATTAAAAAGTATTTTTTTAAAAACCCAAAAGCTGGGGCAAAAGTAAAAACTCAGCACGAGCAACTTCAGGGAAGGATTTCTTCATATAACCCAGAAGAGCAAATAAGGGGTTACATGTAAACACAGGTGAACACACATTAAGAATTTGGTTTCATCTTGTCTCTCTCTCTTGTTTTAAGGTTGCATGTGACTGACGACAGACATGAAGACTTTCTAAATGGGCAGGAATCATAAAATCTGAACGCCTGACGATCACAGCATCATCCACCTGACCACGAGCTTACAGCTTATGACCTCATTTTGAAGCCACTGTTTTCTGGCCGTACTTACTGGCTTTGAAGGATGGGTGATGGGCCTGTGACTGATCCTGCCTGCCTGCCCCATCCCACCCTTCAATGGAGCCGATGTGGAACTCCTCCCACCCACCTCCACAGCTCATGTCCAACATGTCTGCCTCCTCTCTGCCTGAGGGCTGGGCTCTGTCCCAGTCGCTAGCCCTGCTGGCCATGCTGCTCATGGATCTGCTGGCTGTGGTGGGTAATGTGGCTGTCATGGCGGTCATTGCCAAGGCCCCACAGCTCCACAAGTTTGCCTTTGTCTTCCACCTGTGCGTGGTGGACCTGCTGGCAGCCCTGGTGCTGATGCCCCTTGGCATGCTCTCAAGCCGAGCCTTCTTCGGGGAGGCCCTGTGCCGGAGCTACCTCTTTCTCAGTGTGTGCCTGGTTAGCGCTGCCATCCTCTCTATATCCGTAATCAATGTGGAGCGTTACTACTACATCATACACCCGATGCGCTATGAAGTGAAGATGACTGTTGGTCTAGTAGCGTCAGTGCTGGTGGGGATATGGGTCAAAGCCCTGGCCATGTCTGCTCTGCCACTCCTCGCCTGGTTCCTGCAAGGTGGAAGAACTCCTCTTCTGGAGAGTAGTGGGGTTGGTGGAGGTGGAGGTGGGGCAGTCCCATCTCCCCCTGCTCAGGGTCACAGGCGCTGCTCACTACATTGGACAGGGGGAGGGTCAAACCGCTTGGCCTTCATGGTCCTGTTTACTCTGGTGTATTTCCTGTGTCCACTAATGGTCATTCTTGTTGTGTACTGCAATATGTTCAAAGTGGCTCGGGTAGCAGCCATGCACCACGGGCCTCTGCCTACCTGGATGGACACACCTCGTCGGCAGCGGTCAGAATCGCTCAGCAGCCGTTCCACAATGGTTACCAGCTCTGGGACGGGGAGTGGGACGGGCAGAGCGACTCCGCAGCGCCCCTTTGGGGGAGGAAAGGCTGCAGCAGTGTTGGCAGCAGTAGGTGGGCAATTCCTTTGTTGCTGGATGCCCTACTTCACTTTCCACCTGTATTCAGCACTGGCTGCCACCCCTCCAGCCACTCTGGCCTCTCTTGAGGAGGTGGTCACCTGGATTGGCTACTTCTGCTTCACCTCCAATCCCTTCTTCTATGGCTGTCTCAACAGACAGATCCGGGAGGAGTTGGGCAAGCATCTGCCTTGTCTGTTTCGTCGAGCAGGGCTTGAGATGGAGGACAGACTGCCCAGCCGTGAAGGATCCATAGAGGAGAATTTCCTTCAGTTTCTTCAAGGCACTGGCTGCAACTTGGATCCTCAAAACTCTCACAGCACCTCCAGTCCTAAAGGGGAGGCCTGCTGCCCCGTGGCTCAGTCCCAACCACCTGAGCCAGCACAGCCTATTCCAATTGATTTCCGTATCCCTGGACAAATTGCAGAGGAGACTTCAGAGTTTACGGAGAGTGAACAGGCGAAAAACAACCATATATTTACAGACAATTAAGTTTTTAACGTCTTTATTTTCTGAAAATAAGACAAATTTTCATCATTTAGATATAGACTGTTTCAGGAATTATTCTGTTGAAAACATTGTTTCTCTATTTCTACTGAAAGCTGTCCAACAGTTCATTTCAATGACTTGTATTTTTGAATCATTGCACTTTGCCTCATCAGATTTCATCCTTAAACAGTCATGATGATACAATTACATGCAGTTGTTTGAGATACATTTCAAACTGTTGAATGTGAACAGGGAAATTACTGCTAGGTTTTAAAACATTCCACACAACCACTCAGCTCTGTACAGTTAATGACTCAGTGAATTAATATTGATGTAACTTGTTAAAGCCTTTTTATTTTTTTTATAAAAAAATAACACTAATTATATGTTTGATTCTATAAAGGTAACTGAATAGTTAAATGTTTTCAGAATATCCCTTTTGATCTTAAATTAGGGAACACTTGCTGAAATACACCGGCTCCCTCTCAATTCATTTTTAATTTCTTTTTTTTAATTAACTCTATTATTGTGCAGTGAAATCTCTGCTATTAGACAAATTGCCTTTGGCATTCAGAAATGATGATTAAATGGTTCCCCACACCAACTGATACTGTATTTGTAACTGCCAAATCAATCATTTTTAAGATACTGGTAAATTGATTATTTTTGAAAAGAGTTTTGTAAATTACTGCAAGAAAAGTCACATCAAAGCAGACAGCAATAAAATACACTAAATTACTACTATTATTTAGCGGATTCATTGGGGGAAAAGCACTACTGTTGCTTTTTATTGGATGGTAGGCTTTCATCAATGATAATGCCCCTCTTACCCCTTATGCCAATCGGATTATAATTGATTATGAGGTGCGCATATTGTGGCCTAACTCTCATGCAATTGCTACGAGTTGTTTACAGGTAACCATTTGAATTTTGTTCTCCTTTCTTTGGTGCTTGTCCAAACACATTTTTTTGTTTTTCGTTTTAATTTAAAAGCAAGCCTGATCTCTTGTGACTTTATAACTCAGATTAAGGGTCACCCTGCTTTCTGCCATGTGATGTATTTATCAGTATATTTGAATATGGATCTTAAAAATCAGTATTCTCTCGATGCACTGCATTGCATTGAAATATGATTCTACTTCTTATGTTTGTTAAATGTAGTAAACTGTATGTTATGTTTAGTAAAACTGTATAAGTTGTGGGTTGTGTATTTCACTCAACACGCCCATTTTTCTTTTATTCGTGAGTATAAGTACTTGTTATGAATTTCATTACAAGGAGGCGGATGTATTTTGACACGTATGCAGTAACTGCCTTCTTCGTTTGGAGATTTTTATCCTGGAAGGAGAATAACTTTAGATTTTTCTTTTTTTTTTGACTACCCTGCTCATCAGGGTTTTTACCTCACATGCAGGAAAAAACAACAACAGTATTTTACAGTCCTGCGCAGTTTAATGTCAAGTATGACTCCTGCACACTATTCTGATATTGTAAGGAGAATAACACAGGTGTGATACGCTCAAAGAGGTTTTTATTAGAAATGAGGGTGCAGTCTTTGCTAAGTTTTTTTCAGTTTGATGATGAGATGAGTAGTATTTTATAGCAAACTGTTAGGGATAAGTGTGATAAACTATATGTGGACATGTTTGATTGAAAAAATTCTTTCTTACATAATGTGGATACAGGGTTTTTAAGACATTTTGTTTTGAGTGACAATGCCAATCCAAAATCAAAAGCTTGTTGAGCTTGATATCTTCTTTTCATCATGTCTAAAAATCCCAAACTGTGAATGATGTTGAACGTTTGTGTTAGGATTTTCACTTGTTTAGAGATTGTTTTTATGCTGTGATTAAAATAAAAAGAATGACTTCCACTGTATGTGTTTAGAAAAATACATGGCTACAGGTTGAGTGAGAGATACCGTTGTAATAAAGAGTTTCTATGTTTGTAAAACATTTTGAATGCACTCTCATAATTTCACCGACAGTATGAGGCTGCTGTCACAAATACAGTTCAGTTGAACCAAATTTTAGGCATCATTTTGAGTCTTTATAGCTTCTTTTACTCCACATCTCAATGTTTTATATAATTGTACTCTCGGATTCAATGTGTGATCTGCTTTGCTTTGATATTCCATTGTGAAAGGGGTGGGGGAGTGGGAGGATACAGTTCAAACACTTTGACCTTAAAGTAACATTTAAACCTCAAAGGCCAAAGCCAGTGGTATAACCTTTATCAGATAGATAGATAGATAGATAGATAGATAGATAGATAGATAGATAGATAGATAGATCAACAAATGCATCCTGCCACTGTTTAATGCTGTGTTTCAGTTGGAAGATGCTGGTGTGTGACAGGCCTCACACCTCAACGATGGACCTCAGTCAAACCGCCCCCAGCTTCACCAGGCTCTGCCATCCCCATGGCAATTATTACCTAGTGACATTTCTCAGTGCTGTAGTGGGCGGTAGGAGGAGCTTGCTCTATTGGGAATCCAACAAGACACCCCCTTTATCTGTGATTTCTTAAAATACATTCTCTAGACTAAACCGGAGCTGACATTTTTATTTGTTTATATCTCTGTAAACTGAAATAACTCAGTTATTAAGTTTAAACAGCCTATTCTGTTGTTTAGAATGACCTTTGATCATTTCTTTGTAATCTTGGGATTGCTTTACCTGAATATCTATAGTTTTCTAACTTTAAACTTAAATATTTTATTCTGATACAGTCTTACAATCAAGATTCAGAATAAATTATGTCCTATTATGTGAAATGTTTGTAAACATACATCTTGTTTGTATAAATAATTAAGACCTTGTATTTACATTTCTTAAGGTTAGGGTCTTTTTTTTGGCAAAGGTAACAGCAAATTGATACCTGTGCTTTTAAAAAATGCTATAGCTGATAGCACCAGTCGTTTACAATAAAATCAATCTAACCTGAAGCCTAAATTGTTGTTGACAATCATTAGTGGCAGTACTGACTGAGTCCCTGGAAGAGGGCAGAGGGTATTTAGCAAGAGCAGAATGATGAACCATGGCTGGAATATGTGGGGTTTCACAAGAGCCCCAAGAGGAAGTGAGCTGGGAACATCTACATACAGTATGTATTTAGATAATGCATCACTTTATTATAGAACAAATATTTTGAACAATAAAAATACCTAAAAGGATCTTGTAAGATTAAAGCTGTGGTAATATATTAATGTAATTTGGGGGCAGAGGAACTATCTGAAAACAATTCTTTTTTTAATTGTCATTTTTCAAAGTTGTTATGACATCTCATTTGATGTATGTTTAATACAAAAATACTGATTAATGCAGCTGTAGACATTATTCTCTATTAGAAAAATAAACATACACCATTTGTAGACAAAGATATCAGTGGATAAGGCCTTGTGCCAGGTTCATGGTTACACTGTGTAATGCTATTAGCCACACAGGATAGAGTAGCCACGGTTTCAAATTAACATTTTGGGGATTTTGAGCAGCAGTCTTCAATGTATCCTGCTGCCACTGCATGGCATGATGAAGATGGAGGACCCAGCTGTTCACTCAAAATCTTATTTCAGTCGTAATTGTTATTGACCTTGTACTGTAAGGGCAATTCTGTGACTGAACAAACCCAAAAAGTTGACTCTAGATGGAGGTCAGTGCTTTACATCACTTTTCCTGCCGCTGGTTATCAAGACAAAGTGAAAGCAGGTGGACAGGGAGAAGCCAGATTCTGTGGTAGAAACAAACCTGTGATGAAGAAAAAGAGAGAGAAAGAAAACAACAATATCATTTATTTGTTTCCACCAACTTTCTGGGCATATTGTCAGCATTTCACAAGAGAGAGATACCGTTTGTAAGAAGGACAACAAGTGGACAAGAGAAAGGAAGAGGAAGTGAGAGGGGAGAAGAGGAAATAAGTGTTGACAAAGGGATGTAAAATTTTGAGAGGAATAAAACTGTCATGGACACATTCAGGCTAAAATTATTGTGTAATAAACTTACAGAAAACCACCACTCAAACTGGAGCTTTGTGCAATAGCAGTAAATCCAACATCATATCATGATCATAATGTAACAGGATATTCTAAATTGTTATAAATCTTATCTGTTAATTTTAATAAAGTGATAACTTTAATATAATAACTAAATGTGTCTGGCAGTCTTCCAGTTTGCTTCCAGTTAGCCAGTTGGTTGTTACTACACAAACTATTGCATATGTGGTGTTTTACAACTAATTTACTGGTGTATATTATGTTGTGTGTGTACTTTTTTGTATGTGACACAACATTTATTGCAGCTTAAGATTTTAAAACCCTATTTTAAGAATAACAAATACTATTCATTGTAATTCAGTAAATTAAACTATACAAGAGTATATGGAGAAAGTAAAATTAGCTCTACTTTGACCGGCTACATTAAAATGATTTATACATATTAATAAATCAGTAATGTTAACCAAATAATAAAATATATGATAATATACTCCTTTTTATATCACACTTATATAAGTTGCATGTTGGACCAGGCTGGACTAGTGAGTATTTGTGATGTCACAATCATCCCCTTGCAATCTTAATTTCAGTTAGCACAGAGAAACTTTACATACATAACATTAACGTTACACATTTTTGAGTGGAGGGGGACTTTAAGTAAAGTTACTTTCCACCACTGGTTTAATACATGATACTGCTTTTGTATTTCACTTGAGACAAATACTGTTCATTGAATGAGACTTTGTAATGTAATGGAGTATTTTTACATTGAAGTACTCCTGGGTCTGGTGAAATATAGACCCAGGGCTGAAAATATAGTTTATAACATTAGTTTACTACCTCAACACATTTAAAATATGGTTTCCAGGAGAAAAACCTGTAGAAAACCATTTGTTTGTGTGTTAAATCTGGCGACCTTTGAACCCGACACACACTCACAGCGGGCGGCTCCTTTAAAAGTAAAACTTCGTCCTTCTGTTGAGGAAACGTCCAAACAAAACCCCACGTAGTCGAACAAAGGTGAAGAATACCTTTCGGTAGGTTAACTAACGTTATATGCGATCTTTAATGGTTTTATTCTGCTAGTTCAGACGCTAACAAGCTAACGATGGGTAATTAAGTCAACGGACGTTAACGGTTAACGTTAATATACGTTAACTGACGTTAAACTGTTGCTGCAGGTATCAGGCGATAAATAAAACAGGTTCATGGTGAGTTAACTATTAAGTTAACTAACAGCGAAAACTCATTTTAACGTTAGGTATTTTAAGTTTTAGTAAACTTCACCTTCAGAGGGACGTTAATCGATAACCGCAGTGTAATAACTGATATCTATCGTCAGTGTAACATGGCGTTCCTGTGTGTTTTCTGCAGGAATTTCCTGTCTTGTGCCGCACAACGTTACTTCTGCTCCCAGCTGGTCCTCAACAATGTCAGGTGGTAAGTCAGCAAACAGTAACGTTACATTAAGTCGAGAACCGTTCAATACAGGTAACGTATTGACTAGTTGTGGTCGAGGTGACATAAAACACAACCAAGTGTTAATTAAGTGTAAAAGAAAACGTTTCGCCATTAGAGGTCTTCTGTTTACCTCCAGCAGATTAAAACTCCTCCCATGTACTTTGTCAGTGAGACTTTATTACTGCGCACTTTACTATATTTAACTAGTGGCCTTGTTACAGCCAGAGTGGCTTATACATCCTCTGACATGCTTTATAAATAGTGGTGAGTACTAGTCTCGGTCAGTTATATAGCTCAACATCACAACTATATCTGAAAGGAGCTTTAAATCTATCAATCTATCTATCAATCTATCAATCTATCTATCTATCTTTACCATTGCCTCTGATTATCTAAAAACTTGTAATTACTTGGCCTAAATATTTATAGTTTGTCATAAAATTACTTTTTTTTTTATATTAATTGAGTTAAAAACTTCACAGATAACATTAAAAATGCATTTGGAGGCTACTCTAGGTAACAGTTGGTCATTATTAAATGGCTGAATGGCATCCTAATGGTAACCATCCCATTAATATACATTGAGTTTTTCAAAGTAGTGACTGACTTTTGTTTATTGCAAAACATTTACAAATATGTATAAAAAACAAGAAAACGACTCAGTTGCAGTTAAATTCTTGCAGAAGCAGTGCTGTTAATAGAAAAATGCTGTTTTGTAAAATGCAAAAACAATCTTGAGTTTGCTTTTTGGCATGCACATGTTTGAGCACAAGGTGTACGTAATCTAATTATAAATTATGAGAAATTAGTTCAGTTGGGTTTGATGGCGTTTTACGTTTCACATTACCTATGAAAGTCTATGCATGGGTTGTGAGAACACTGGGTTTTATTTTTGGTGTATGGCCTCTACAAACAAAATGCTGACTTCCATGAGCTTTGCTCTGAAGGAGTGAAAAAAGAAAAAAAAATCCCCCAGCAGCCAGTGATATGCACAGTGGTCTCATTTTTAGCAAAAGGGTGTAGACAGAAAGCTTGACTAAGCACTAGAGGAGGAATTCCAAGAGCTATCGGGCTAACTGTGTCTCCTGTTTCCAGGTAAGGCCTCGGGAATGTGAGGGATTTGGTTTTAGAGAAATGTGAGACATATTGGGGATAGGTAAAATTGTAGTTTCAGACTAAAGTAGGCCTCTTGTTTTTTAGCTTTTGCTGCTGCTGCTGTTGCACCAGATGGTGAGCGTCAGCTCTCAAAAACTGGGTCAGATTTAAAAAAAAAAAAAAAAAGGCTGGAGACACCCTGACACAAGATTTCTATTTTAACTTGGGAAAGATAAACCTCGACTTCTTCAGTCAGTCACCCAACAGCATTTATGTTTGTAAGATGTTGTCTCCCAGCTCATTTAATATAAAGGTTGAATTTCAGTTATTTGATTGCTGTATGTACATGTCTAATCTAAATAGTGCTGGGTGGTATGAGCAAACAATCTAAATCACAGTTTCATGAAATGTCACAGTATCTTGGCCTTTTATATAGGTTTTTGCTGTCAGGAGTACATAGAATTTAATATCATCATGTATGTACTGAAGGCTTTGATTACTATAGGGATATCTTGATGTAATATATGAAGGAAGCAAAATGCATGAAACAGTTGCTGAATGTAAACAATTTATTGTCCAAACTGCAACATAGTAAAAACTTTAAAAAAAAGTTAAGTATAAAAAAAGGTTTGCTAACAGCTTGGACATTGTTTCCTTTTCAAAAATAAATACTTAAAAATAGCTGCACAAACACTATAAACAGACATAAAACACTCTATTATATTCATATTTTAGTATTAGTAAGAGATATTTGAATATACAAATGTACAAAACAACTCAGATTGTGGTGTGGCGTGGTGTTTTTTTCCTGGTAAAGAGAGATAGTTGTGGGTTACTAATTGATGTGTTGTATAGCTATAACCTTAAGTAAGAAGGGTACACAGTTAATAGGGTTCCCCTATTTATACATGCAATCTTTGTGGCAGAAACAATATTGCTGTCTATTGAAGAGTTACAGCAGTTGTTTCAGCTATGCAACGGTATGGCAGTACAATGTAAATCATATGGGAAAGTAAAGGCAGTGTACCGGTTCATACAGTCTATCGCTCAGCATTAGGTCTAAATCTTGAGGGCATAGTTTGAACAGATTTGTGATTGGATTTTAGTCTTTGTTTTTAACTCAATCACACACTGATTGAACTAAAGTCAACCTGTAGATTGTGTTTCAGTTGTAGAGATTAGTGCAATAGGTTGTGTTTTGGGTTTGGTGTCAGGCACAGTTGTAATAATAATTACCATTTTCTTAATATTGTAATTTAGCCTGTTCTAAATGAAGGTTCAGCATCGGAGTTAATCAAGTTCAGTGTATGCTGTAATGTCAGAGGGCAGTTTACGTCTATCCAGTTGCAACATCAGTTCAGTTGTATTCTGAAGTGTAATTAGAGCAGGCTGAGGTAAAGAATGAATAAATGAATGGTTGTATAAGAAGTCTTACTTCAGAGGTAATGGACAGCGGATACAGTATATTTTAAACCGTCTGTACTGTTTGTACCAAGTGCTATTTCTGACAACTAGTGTGTAAAAATGATCACACTTAATGAAATTATCAGTATGCTGCATTCTAATTAATGCTGTGTTCTTATAAATATACAAGTAAAATATTTGCTGCAACAGCAGTTGTGTTCTCATAAGGGACGAACGTGTTTTTGTCTAACTGCATATCCTTTTAATACCACTAGATGGGGATCTTTACTCTTTTTTTGTAGCTCACATTCTCTGTACTACACTGTAAGTACCAAAATACAGTGTCAGTCAATAGTCAGTGTCATCTGGCTTCAGTTACATACAGTAGATGTGATGCAGTTTTTGAACACATGTATATTGATCTGTGATATGAAAAATTCTTATTCTGATATGATTTCACTGAGCCATTGATTCTGTGAATGCCCTGCTGGGTCTAAGAAAAGCTTATTATTTTGAAAAGACAAATTAGAGTTAACATGATCACATGCAGTAAAAACTGTGTATTGTCTGTATGATATGTACAAGTGTGACGAACAACAACCTAATGTAGTTAAAAAAAGGGAAAAGCTTTATTTTACAGTTCACTGAAGAGTCTGTCTACAGCCTGAAGTGTAAATAAAGCAAAGTTTAAAAAAACTTTGTATCGGAAAGTGTTGGAACCCCACCCCCAAACCATTAACAACTTTATTTGTTTTACTTGCTCGAGCTCTGCTGATGTTTTGGAAGCTTGTGTGGTTATTACACTTGAAATGAAAGTGTGTAATAATAATTAATGCTCCTAAACTACAGCAAACACACGAGAGAAAGTTGTGCACGTCACAGGTTGTATTACTGGCTCTTGCTGGGCATTGGTTGTCACTATTTATAATACTTCATGTCAGGTGGGCCTGTGCTGTGTGTGTGTTTAGGCTGTCTGTCTTCCCTCAGAATTTTCCAGCATAGACGATTGAGAGTTCATTTGTCAGCTAAGCTGGTTTCTGTGCTTATCCACTCTGACCATTCTCTATTCTTTTACTTTTTCATCTGGATCCTCTGTGGGGGTTTTTTCTCTCGGTTGAAGACACATTCTCATGATATGTAGCGTATCTAATTGCTATTTTTAGATGAGCGGAAAAACTTTTGTCCTTCACTCACCTTGGCGCCCAGCTGGCGGGTTGCAGTCGATATCCAGGCTTGCTGGCTGTCATGCTAGCACACACTTTGATTTGCAATGCCCTCCTCGGTGGCTGTTTTTCCCTGCATTGGCTACAGGAAGCTCATTCCCTGGTTGCTAAGGCAACCAAGGAGGATGGCCCACAGCAGGAGTACGGGAAGCCTTGCGCTGCCTTTCAACTCGTCGCTGTGCAGCATGCCTGCTGACCTGCTGCGGGCTGGGAGGAGGAGCCAACTCTGCAGAGGAGCTTCTCCAGGCCCTGTATGGGTCCTGCCGCCCCGCTGCCCCACCATGAGACAGAGCTCCAGCATTAGAGCTAGTGCTCCTCTCTCCCTCTGCTGGCCACTGCACAGCTCTGACTCGCTCTGCTCCAGTAGTAACAGGAGCACAGGCGGCAAGATGTCATCCTCTTCCTCCTCCTCCTCCTCCACCAACGATGGACAAGGGAAGCCTAAACCTAAATCCCCGTTTCGCAAAAGGGGAAGCCTGCAGAGCACCACCAGCCCTGGTGAGTGTGGGTGAGAGGGGGGTCCCATAGAAAGTGAACTCTCAGCTGTTAGATGAATGTGGAGAATTACACAGATGCTTGTGCCGTGTTTAAGAATCCATGATGCTCACCAGAGCTGGAGACTGCTGCAGTTGTAGTTTGTTGCTCAGTTTTGTTTTGTGTCTGTTGTTGAAACATTGGTTTGAAGCTTTCACTGATGTCGTTTAGCATTCAGCGTGCATGTCTCTCTGGAATGCGATTCACTGCAAAGATTATTTGAATTAAACCAGGGCTGTAACTGAGTTAATCTATTTATAATAGCTATTTTTTTATTAATCAGTTAATTATTTAGTGTATGAGATAACGGAAGATATGAACAAAAGGATATTGCGTGTTCTTCATGGCCCAAACAGCAGTTAAAAACGCAAAGGGCGTTCTCTTTGTAATTGGACAATATAGAAAAAATGCTCCAGCTAGAAACCATACAATAATCTTAAGTGTTCAGTAACTGACACTCTTAAGTAATACATTTGTTATTTAGTACCACTGCAGTTAATAAGTTAATACATACATTATTATAATAATAACACAGCCAAACTTCAACATGTTAAAATATGGATCTGACTCTGCTTTTACTGACTTTACCGTCATATGCTGATAACACACTATAGGAACCGCCTTTTCAGAGTGTTCCCTATAAGTAACAGTTATATGGGTTGCCTGCCCAAATAGATATGCACCTTTGTAGCAGATACAGTTCATAGGTCTACTGGCTATGGCTTTTCCTTATCTCATCAGCTTGGGTTAGACAGAGCTGGGATATTGTTTTATCTTGTAACTTCACCTCTCTTATCATTGTCAAGACCCTCCCACACTGGGAGGCCAAAATCTCATTATTTCTGTTTAGGTGAACACGCAGTGACCATGTGGAGACAAAGAATAGAACAGAATGTATTTTTTTGATGCTACAGCAGTTTGATTCCTCCATTAGCCTCCCAGATGTGATGATGAACTTTGAATGAGTCTGTTTGAGTATAATGGACAAACTGCAACAAAGTTCATGTCACAGAATCTAGGATATGCAGTTTCACAGTTACTTCTTTTTTAACGTTTATCTGCTTGACTTAAATTTATAACTGTTAGATAAAAAGTCAATATGACAAAGTAGTTTAATCTCAAATTCTACTCTATTAGTTATTGGCGTTGACATTTTAAATTAGCTTTGTTACCACAATCTTACTGGCAAATGGTAGTGTAGTAATAAGTGTTACAGTATTGTTTCATTCACTTTTTAATATGATGGGATACAGGCAAAAATATCCTAGCTCTACAGTATGGTTACCTTTTGAAGTTGATGCTAACTGGTCTCTGTGGGGACAAACTTAGACCATCTATTTATCTGTGAAGCAATTAAATGTTAATATTGATTTAATGTGAAGATACTTCCTCACATAGCACAGCACAAATACTGAGTCTTTGGAGGGATGCAGCAGCGGATCTCAAGCAGTAATTCACATTGACACTCACTGTACTGTATTTGCTGAGGAAGCCTGTCTTTGCTGCAGTAATAAATAACTTAGAGGTCTCTCCATCCATCCAGTCATTTAAGTCCTCTCAATTAGCCGCCTGGCTGAGCCCTCTGCACTCCCAGTCTGTCATAAGAGCCACATGTAGGCCACCCATTATAGTACTTCCATCTGATCACACCAGTCTGTTAGCAGTCTTGATGCCAAATTACTGCTGCAGAAAAATTACTGTAGCTGCAGCTTGAGCAGCTGGTGTTTTTATTCATGTCATGGACTGAAGCCTTTAATATTTCCTGTGTTACTTCTTGTAGCAACTCCAGAAATAGCTCAGCTTCATGTCATCGTTCCTTTCAAGTCTCTTGGAACTTAAGGTTTTTCTTCAAATAAATTCTTATCTTTAGCACTCCTGCACATTTGAAACAGCTATCTTATGTAACGGTTGTGTGTTGATTCGCTGGTGGAAACCAGCGAATCTGTCTCTGCCTGCAGGCTGCTCTCTCCCACTGGACCTTCATTGCATCACATGAAGCAGAATATGTAATGTCCCAGCTTTGCAGCGAGAGCTATATGACGTGATATATGGAGGCTATTAAAGTATCTGCTAGAGAGGTGGAGGGAATTCCTCTCTCCAGCACTGCTACACTTTCTGTTGTGATCTGATCTGATACAGAGGCTCTTACCTTGATCTTCACTAACATACTGGCCTCTAACTTGACACTACCGTGTGCGCTTTTATCTGCAGGATGTCTGGTAGTATGGCATTTCAGATGAGTTTGTTGTAACAGATTTTCTTTGTTACTTTCAAAATGAGTTGTCAACTCAATAAAATGGTAGTATGGTGATCCCTGCCTCATTACCTGGGTTTCCCACTGTATTTTACGCTTTGTATCATAGTGTATAGAGAGTATGGAGGGTCTCTGGCATGTACATTTTGGCTACAGTTACAATTTGACTGTCAGCTCCACCTCAATCTGTATTCTTCCTACTCACTATACATCCTGTTACACATTGCAGTTGACTGGTTGCTACTCCCTCCACCACTCCAGCTGCCCCATTCTGGTTCATAATTAATCAGATATACTGTTGGCATGTGGGACTCTCTCATGGATTAATGTGTATTCTGTATCTCATGACTTGCCGAGTCATGTGGGCTCTGTTCTGTTACCCCTTGGAGGCTTTGTTATACTCCTTACTGAATCTTTAGCACATCTACACATTGTTGCCCTATGGACTTTAATCTGCACTACTGGCAACCCTAGTTTGCTCACGCATCCCTCCACCCCCACACTCACCCTCTGGCCCTGCAGTAGACAGAAACATGTGACAAGCAAACACTGGGAGTCCCTGCCCAGAGACCCATAACCTCACAGTTGTGGTTGTGGGTGTTAAATTGTATTGTAGGTGTTAATTATTCCTGCTGAAAAGGTGTCAGTAGTATTTTTTTCTTCACTATTGAGAGGCAAATCAGATCTCTGTGACACTGCACAGTTGAATATATCAGTTTTATTGTTAAATAGTACAATTTAGAGCATTGAGGGACACATTTGGGACTAAGAGCAACTGAAAGTTATGGCAATAATGACTTCTGAATGACAAAACAGTCCATTTTTTTTAACTCAGTTAGACCTGTGTATATATATGGAGACTTTGGTTCAAATCTTTATTGTTCCTTGAGGGGAATTTTGATTTACAGTAGAGGGCACAAATGCAACATACAAGGAGACTTGGGATACTAGTCAGAACAGCTACAACAAACAGCATCTGTTTATTAAAGGTACTCAAACCACTGCAATGGTAGCCTTTGGTAAAATGTAAAAAAGTGAAAATTTAGAACATTTTCTTGTTCAGTTCTACACTTACCCATCTCTCCACTAGAGGGAGTGTCAGTCATGAAAGTGTTTTGTGAAGTCAGACCATCAGTTTTTAACAAGTGGCTGGTTGTCAGTATCTGGGGTCTTTGGCTGTTCTGCAGTCACACATGACTGAGGAGGACCAGTTTGCTCTGCGTTTGGGTGGAAAATTCCAGGGCTTTCTTCTGCTATGAATAGCTCAGTTGCTTCCCATGTATCAGAGGAAGTGTGTCAGTTCTGGAAAAGGGATTTTGGAGAACCAATAACCAAGGCCTTGAAAGCTATATTGCCAACAGGTGGGCCTGTTGTTGCTGGGGGTCGAGTAGATAACCTGCAGAGCCACAGTTCTGTATCTGTCCCATAAAACACACACACACACACACACACACACACACACACACACACACACACACACACACACAAGCCAGACCCAACACCATGCCATTGGACACACCATATCTCAGTGGGGTGATTTGCAGGCTGACAGACAATGCTAATTCACATGGGTTATGAAAGGTTGTATTTCATCGCTGAGGTACAGTTAAGCTTTGGTCTGTCTCTGCTCTCAGCATGGCTCCTAATAAAGATCTGTTTTTCATTAATCAACCTCATTTGATCACACATGAACCTCTGTCAGCTGATGTTTGTTCCCTGACTGGCTTTTTCTTGTCCTGTGACCTCAGTGACTCAGAGAATTGCTTGCCCACCACACCCCTGTTCACCTAATGATCTGCCAGCCCTTATCCTCACTTAGTTTAGGAATACAGGTATGGGGCTATGTACCTTCATGCTAATACCATGTACAAAGATGCAATATATAGTTTACTAATCACGAGAGAGCTCTGAGAATAAACTACGCCTTCTTGGCAGGGGAGTGAGATGCAGGCTCCACAGTTGGTCAACACTGATCCTGTCAGATAGTCTGACAAGCCCCCTGCAATTATCAAAACTGTTCAAGAGACTAATGTAATATATTTGGGTCTTAGACTGTTGGTCAAGACATCTTAAGACATCAGAGTGGGCTTGGAGAAATCTGTTGGACAATTGTTGACTATTTTGGGATTTTTGCAAAGATTTAATCAAATAATTGACACAGTGATGAAACATTGCAGCATAGTGAATACTGAATGTTTTATTAAGTCATTAAAACCTTACACATTGTGGTAAAAGAGTCTAAACTTTGATTTAACAGACTTTCTAGAATTTATGATTTATTTACAGAATGTATAATGTCATCATGGCCGTACCAAACAAACAAAACACTAAATCAAAGCAAGAATGGCAAATCCCATAGTAAAGATAGCAGTAATGAGGGGTGTGCATGTACAGGTGAGTCTGCATCAAAGTTCATAGAAACAGGACATTTGTTATCAGAAGCCTCCTCACTTAGCCATGTCAGTGAAGCAACACTCTTTTATTGCCTTCCTGACACACCTTTAGTCCGCGGAATGGGATATTAATCTCTTGATGTCCAAGAAGTGCTAAGTACAGTGTGCTACTTGTTGACAGTGTCAAGTGACACAGTGCTCCTCTTTGCTATATTCAGATATGGTGAGAGCTGCACTGACAGAGGTAGCAAGAGGTTTGGTGACTGGACAGGGCTCTGGATAATCACAGAGGATTGTAGTGTGTGTCCGTGCACTGG